CGATGATACATGAAATGCGATGGGCAGTGTTTTTGTTCATATCTCTCCCATTGTTCTAAATGTTCTAAATGTGCAAAAACAACTGCCTCCACGGTCAACCCAGTGATAGTGTCCCTTGGGGCCCTCTATTTGCCCCTATCAGGTTCGTCACCCTTATGGGCTATCCCAGGTGTCGGTGACTTGCGCCCCGCCAACGGTGCGTGCACGCATGGGCCCCTGCCAGGGGTTGTGGCGCACTAGGGCTTACCAGGTGCGGTGGCGCCCACAGGAGTCTCCTAGGGGCACCGGTGCTCCCCAGGGGACCTCTCAGTTGTAGTGGCGCCCCCAGGGGCCCGCCAAGGGGTAACGTCGCCCCCAGGGGCCCGCCAAGGGGTAACGTCGCCCCCAGGGGCCCGCCAAGGGGTAACGTCGCCCCAAGGGGCCCTTCTTAGGGGAAGCGATGCCCCCAGGAACTCTCCTCAGGGTCAGCGGTGCCCCCAGGGGATCTTCCAGAAGCAGTGGGGCCCCAAGGGCCGGCTAGACCCTAAGGGGCCCTCCCAGAGGAGCCCCCTGCAGAGAGAACTGTAGCTCCGGGTCGTGGTGTCGTACATATTACATACGTCCAGCAATCCCTTACTTAACTGTGATTGGTGGACTAAAATGTAAATCCAAATAACAGCCAATAGGAGAACAGAGCAGACAGTCAGCACAACACCCCAGCTTATGTTTTCCTGTTGGATATTTATTCTCCTTTACATTGTTGATGGTGTGATGATACTGGATATGCGATGGGTGGTGTTTTTATTCATATCTCCCAGTGTTCTAAATGTGCAAAAAAACAACTGCCCCCACGGCCAATCCAGTGATAGTGCCCTCTGAGGCCCTACTATTTGCCCTACCAGGTGCGTCGCCGTTAGGGGCTCTCCCAGGGCTGTCGGTGCCCCGAGGGGCCTTGCCATGGGTGGCGGCGCACCCAGGAGCCCTGCCATGGGTGATGGTGCACCCAGGGGCTTTACCAGGTGCAGTGGCACCCACAGGGTCTCTCCTTGGGGCACCGGTGCCCCCAGGGGACCTCTCAGGTGTGGTGGCGCCCCCAGGGGCCCGCCAAGGAGGAACGTCACCCCCAGGGGCCCGCCAAGGGAGACCATCGCCCCCAGGGGCCCGCCAAGGAGGAACGTCACCCCCAGGGGCCCGCCAAGGGGTAACGTCGCCCCAAGGGGCTCTTCTTAGGGGAAGCGATGCCCCCAGGGGCTCTCCTCAGGGTCAGCGGTGCCCCCAGGGGATCTTCGAGAAGCAGTGGGGCCCCAAGGGCCAGCTAGACCCTAAGGGGGCCTCCCAGGGGCCCTCCCAGAGGAGCCACCTGCCGAGAGAACTGTAGCTCTGGGTCGTGGTGTCGTACATATTACATACGTCCACCAATCCCTTACTTTACTGTGATTGGTGGATTAAAATATAAATCCAAATAACAGCCAATAGGAGAACAAGGCAGTCAGTCAGCACAACACCCCAACTTATGTTTTCCTGTTGGATATTTATTCTCCTTTACTCTGATAAAAAGTTCTTGCTCGCCAGATTCATCCAAGTTTTGGTGATTGCTATAACGTCTACATTCTCCATACATACAACCGCTCTCAGCAAGTCTATTTTATTTCTAATGCTCCCTTCCCTGGTACTGTTTTACCCCGTGTCCTGAGTAACCAATTTTACTTCCCAGGACCTGCTTGTTTTTTGACTCCCACTTACCCCGACCTCTCTCTACTGGCGAAACCCCCCCCCCCTTTGGAGTGACAATTTCACACTCCACGGATGCAGACAACGTCTTTACCTCCCCGGGAGACAAGTGTACTCCGTCACGACTGCACAGGTAGTCGTTGCCATTGAATGGTTGCCAGTTATCAGTGAATGCCCAACCCATTGCTTGCACAATGTTTTACCAGTCGGCAATTGCCCTGGACAGCCATTCACGACCAACTCCTGTTCTAGGCAAGACACCACATACTATCAGGATCCCTCCCCTATCTCTAACCGTCCTCAGCGCCTCCCTATGCCTCTTGAAAAGTTCCTCACTCCTAACCTTTCCTATGTCGTTACCTCCCTCACTACTGGATTGGTACCCTCCCCTGACAAAACCCCATCCATCCTCTCAGCTCCATGCCCTATCCCAGGTAAACACACCCTAGTCCTACATTTCCTATCTCTTGCACAAAAAGTTCAATCTAAGAACCTCATAGCAGCAACCGCTAGGGCCCTACCAGGTGCAGCAGATCCCCCAGGGATTCTACAAGGTTCTATGAGGTTCCATGGGGTTCTATGGAGTTCCATGGTGTTCTATGGGGTTCTCTGAGGCTGTATGGGGTTCTATGGGGTTCTCTGAGGGTCTATGGGGTTCTATAAGATTCTACTGGGTTACGAGGTTCTATGAAGTTCTATGGGGTTCCATGGGGTTTTCCGAGGCTCTATGGGGTTCCACAAGGTTCTATGGATTTCTGTGAGGTTCTATGGGGTTCTTTGAGGTTCTATGGGGTTTCTATGAGGTTTTATTGAGTACTATGAGGCTTTGTGGGGTTCTATTATGTTTTATAGGGCTCTATGGGGTTTTATGGGGTTCTATGAGGTTCTAAGGGGTTCTGAGGATCTATGAGGTTCCATGGGTTCTATCAGGTTCAATGAGGGGGCTCCCGGGCTACGAAAGGGTTTCATTCCTGAGGACGTTCTTAAGTTGGACTTGTAAGTAAGTCGGAACACATGCTACATGTATGTTTAAAATCCCACTATATCATAGCCTAAGTCCTTATATACATTACATAATTTAAGACAAAAGAAAAAATAGAATGACAAAATACAGTAAATGAAAGTAAAAAATAATTCATAGGGTCAATAAAATACTGTAAATTTCAAGTTTAACCCCGTTTGTATTGGCAGGCGTTTGTAAGTCTGGGACCTCCTGTACATACAGTGAATCCTCGAAGATCCGGATTAAAAGCCATAATTTTGAGCAACTTGTAACTGTACTCAAATGTACTACTCGAATGGACTAAAATTTTGATCTCTTGTGCAAACTACAGTGGGGTATGCTATAACGAACGGATTCTACTACGAATATTCCTATAATGAACGGTTTTACCTATAAAATTGAGAATGCTATAACGAACGCAACTCCTACAACGAACGCGGATGAATACAGGACTATTTCGTCTGGCATATGAATATTGTTGTACCGCGGCTCACATAAAGAGCGTCAGGCGCCATATTGGTTCATTGTGTAGTCAGTGCACCACTGAACTTGTTGAAATTTCGTCTTTTGATGTGGAAATTCGTGTTATTTTTATAACTATTTTGTTAAACAAGTGTACAATTGTAACAATGAATCGTCAAAAGCGAGTGAGAAAGCTAATAACCCTTGAAACTAAGAAAGAAATTATAAATAAACAGACAAAGTGCCTGTAAGACAGTCACCAAAGAGGGCTAGGAAGGATGAGTCCTCTCCTTCCACCTCTTCTCCATAATTCTCTCCTCCCCCCTCCCCCTCTGCCTCCTGTCCTGCATACTAACAACACTAAGGTAAGATAAAGTACCGTATTTTTTACAATTTCCACAGAAATTGTTCAGTGTTAAGTGGTTGTATTTGGGGGCCTGGAACGGATTAATCCTATAATGAACTAATGCTATAACGAACGAGGTTTTAGAACCAATTAGATTCGTTATAGCATACCCCACTGTGATGTTTCTACTCAAATGAATCACTATCTTGCAAAGATTCCAGTAATTTAAGTTATATTCTGCTAAGTTTAGTCTGTGACATTATATAAGATAAAAACTTAAAGCCTAAAACTACCTTCACTGTGGCTGAGGGGAGGGGGTGAGGTGAGGTGTTAACAGCCAGGCTGGGAGGTTACCAAGTGCGCAGTTGTCAGTTAAATGGAGGGAATTTATGTTTTTCACTTTTCAAATGTCACTGAATTGACTTCACAGAAAATAACTTACATTGCTGGAATTCTTGCAAGATAGTGATTAATTTGAGTAAAAACATCCCAAAGTTTGCAATAGACATAAATTTTTTTTAATTAACTTTGTACATTTGAATACAAGTTTGCCCTTAGGACAATTATTTCTTTTACTTTTTCACAATATGTATTTAGGACGGTGTGTGCATGTAAATGAGCAAAAATAAATTAAGAAAGTTATGTATATCTACTCGAAAATAAGAGGTGAAAAACAACAATAACACCTCACAGCTTGGCCCAGTAGCCTGGTGGTTGCTGTGATGAGTCTAACCTGGCTACAATGCCATGATAAATCAGTTAAGCATAATTATATCAGTAAACACTAATAATAACAGCAAATCCAGTGAAATATGGCAGGGAGGGAGGAGAGTTAAGTGCAGACGATACATTAACGAGCAGTTACATGACTTACTCCCTTTACCCACACCCGTTGCCAGGCGTACGATCAAAATACGTATGGGAGAAATATATATCTTGTAGTCTAATTTGAAGACGGTGACAGGCACAGTGATAAACAAATTATAGAAACCATGCATTTACTTACGATAACTTAACAAGAAAGATTGTATCATTACGAGGGTGAATGAAATATTCCCACAACAATTGACAACTGTTTATGATTCCCACCTCCTCGGGCACCTGTGTCCAGCGCGACCGATTGGTCAACCAGCGCCCACGGGCCTTAAATGTTCTTTGCTCTGTTTTGGGAATGCTTCTTAGGCATGCTTCTGGGAGGCTGCTTAGCCCAAAACCCCCTAGTAAAAATAAAGAACATTTTAGGCCCATGGGTGCTGGTTGATCAGTCGGTCGCTCTAGACAGAAGTGCCAGAGGTGTCTCAGTAGGTGTGAATGTATTAATGGAATTAATCTTGATTTAGTGAACTAGTTCACTAAATCAAGTGAAAAATAATGGAAAAATGCCTTCCGCTAAATCGAGAATTTGTTATATTGGATTCCATTAAATCGAGAGTATACTACTGTATTTGCACTACTTAAAAGGGGTTATTGATACAAAGCTTTACAAGAACAAACATTTATTTGTGTTAACATTGGAAAGGTAGCTTGATCAATTCATTGTAAAGTTAAGACAACCAGAATTACCCATTGGCATAAAGCGCTCTCAATGTTTTATAATTGTGCAAATTTTTTCTTAAGATATGGTGAAATCTTTCAAAAATCCACATTGGAACGAGTTATTTGATACTAGTTTCCTCTGTACCCTGTTGAGCAAATAGGGCTAAGAAATGATTACATACTCATAAAAAAAGTGTACATCCTTGGAATGCAATGCTCATTCACTTACAGTTCAAGTTTACTAATATACCAAGTTCACAATATCAAATATCATGAAAAAGAAAATGCTGACAAAAGAAAAGATTACTGCTTGACTGACACTGGGCTCAATCCACATCCAAAAACTTGGGACACCAGGAAATTAATCCTCAGTGTAACATTCATACACTATTCCTGAGAAGTGTAGCTCATTAATTTCATCAGAACATTTATAAAATACTAAATCAAGGTTTCACACATTAAAACCATCTGTGATACTACTATATATATTCATGTTCTGGAAAGTTTCAATTTTAGTCCCCCAAATTATTATATTTATTTTTCAAACAACATGGCCATGAAAAAAAATTGAAGAGTTTTTTCACTTCAAGAGTTTGTTTTAAAATTTGGTCAGTAATAAAGTAAGATACTAAATAGTCTAATCTTTTAGTATTTCTTACTTAATCAACCTTCAATAAAGTACACTCAAAGAGCACAATGAGAACTGACTTGCACATTACACAACAAAAGCAAGATCTCACATCAACATTATAACGGAGCAAAAGAATATGCTACACACTGTTGATATAAAAGATGTGGTAATACATATAGTTGGCTTATTTACAGGGTTAACCCATACTGATACATACAGTAAATCTGTCTGTAGGAATGATATACACTGTAAGTAGCAAGAAACTCTTTGGGTGTACCTCTTCACTCACCCTTCACAACACTAAGTTTTGTCACTTTATTACATAGCAATATAACAATTTGTAAATCAAACCTACATGATATGACAAACACTTATGGGAGTGTGATTTACAAACTTAATATTCACATTAATGTGAATCCTTCTTAGTAACAGAAGAATAATTGCCACTTCCTTAAAATTCTAACTGTTATAGTAGGTAGATTATGATAAATATGCATCATGACTGCTACATTGTGCAAAGCATTCTCCCAAGCATAAACCTTATATACAAAACTCTCAATATATACCTACCAGTATAAAAGAAAGAAAGAAAAGAGAGCCACTTTAAAAGTTATATAAAATCTTAAAATGAACTTTGACTAAATACACAGACAGCAGCCATACATCAACAGTTAGCACAGAACAATATTTTTGGCTTGTTTTAATATCTCTATGAATATCTAAAATACTAGGAAAAGAATCCCCAACTAGTAATACCCTATGTAGAAATATTATTTATTACAATACAGTACTCATGTTTTTAACTTTGCTAAGTGGTTAACACCCGTAGTTTTAATCACCCTCTTCTGTTGATGGGGGTAGTCGTGTTTACAACCAGTTTTAAAATTTTGAGTCAAGAATAACACCGCACTATAGTACTTGTCGGGGAGGTGCGGCAGTAAAATAAACTAATTCCAACATTATTAGTTAATTTTACCACCACATCTCCCTGTCAAGCACTGTAGTGCAGTGTCATTCATGACTCAAAATTTTTAAAACTCTGGTTGTAAACACGAATATCCCCATCAACAGAAGAGGGTGATTAAAACTCCGGGCATAACAACCTTCTTATTACATACAAGCAAAGTAAAATCATGGCATGGGACTAGCAGCAAAACACTAACAGCATGCAAGCAAGTCACTTCTCTCGGTCACTTTCATTAGACACGGGCTGGCAAGACGATGGCTCTACTGAAAACAACATTGTACAGCTGTAAATGAGCACAACCGCCCAGCATACACTAATGTATATGGAATGTACATTATACAGTGACAGACTTGTAAATCTTCTGAAAATGTAGATTAAATTATATTTTCTGCACAGAGCCCATGTTTAAATATTCCAGAAATACTGTACCATGATGAATTCAACATGAGAGAGCAAAATAGATATGGCAACTTGAAGTCCCATTACTGGGTCTAATATTTGGCCTCATGTGAAGTGGAACGAAGGCTCACATTTACCAAGGGTTAAATGAGGTCTCACTTGACCCTAAGACTATTCATTCAAAAAGACGAATACAATACATACTATTACATTAGGAAAGATACATACACCGTATAAAACTTACACTGTAACACAAACGTAATTTGAATAAGTTCCTACAAATAATAATATAAAAGACCTATCTGACAAATGCCTTATCATCCACTATGAGTTTTTCATATAAAACTAATTTAACACACTCGATAAAAATTGTAATCTTCGAGAAATGTGTGCCCTAACAGCTCCTAATGAAAAGTCTGACATTAAATACACAAATACCTGCACTATCCAGGACTGTAAAAAAATACAAATATCAAGAACATCATGTACTTGTTACTAATTTCAATTGTTTTTGTTTTTTGTAGGCAATCTCTTCAAAACATGTACATGGAGAGCAACATGCAATGCCCTCAAAGCAATTTCCTGGATTACCAGAGCCAAATATTTGTGTCCATTGGCAAGCAGAACCATCCTTCTGGATGCAAACTTTTCCATCATCATGAGTTTGAGTGTTGCAGACCTTATCATGAGTTTGAGTGTTGCAGACCTTGTAAAATCGGAGACAATCATACTTGAACATCAATATACACTCTTGTGCACCTCGATTCCATTCACAAACAATAAACGTATGGCAAGGAGATTCTAACTCCTCATTACTAATAAAACTATTCCTGCTGCGGCGAGTCAGTTGTGTGTACAATGGGTGACGAGATCAGAGATAACGAGCATTATGCAGGTTTTCTGCAAGAATTTATCGAGCATTATGCAGGGTTTTCTGTGAGAACTTTATTATTCTTCCCAGTGAAACTGATGGAAAGTATAGTCTCAGGGAAGTATTACCTACAGTACCCATAATTCACGACAAACTGATCCCGTCACACTTGATCACAGTCAACAGGTGGTAGTTATGTTGACTAGTGTGCTGCACCCTGCCCCCGTTGATAGAACAACCCTCTGCCATTACCCAACAAAATACTTGGGGGACAATAAAGACGACATCCTCTCAAGATATTAAGAGGAATAATCATACAGAGGGCTGGTGTGGTGGGTTGGGGGAGGGCAAATTAACACACTCCAGAAAAAATTATCATCTACAGAAAACATGTCATGACATTCACCACGTCAGTAACAGAATGCCACTATTTTGATTAACAAATCAGGTGAACAATGGACAATGGATTACACAATGAGAACTGAGAAAACAATGTTGACAAAGTTGGGTAGTGGAGAATACATAAATTATGGTGAGTCAGTTTGACTCTTTCTTGTACTGGAAATCATCACTATTGTAAAAAAAAAAGTGCAATACTACTCTAAACTTTCAATACAAATGTGGTTAAAATAAACAGATCTATTCTGTATTTGAACATTTTTCAAACTAATAAAAACATTTTAAAACAAACCTCTAATCTCAGGAGGAACTAAATGAGATATCATGACAATGAGAGGATCAAACAAGAAAAATTCAGCTTTGTGATAATGAGAATGATCAACTAAAGTTACTGTAGAAGTGTTCTGGAGCGTGCGCAGACTTATCACTAAACCGCAGCAGGAGCTAACCGTCAGTTCCATTTTGCTTTCTGTGCGTAGATGTCAGCTCGCAGGTTCTGAGCAAAGCAGATGCCGAGGATCTGGAAGTGAAGGAGGAAGTAAATGGACAGTAAACAGACTAGGGAAAAAACTACAAGCACAGACCCTTAAATACGGACCTCTGACAACCAGATATTTTCTTCCCTGAGTTAGGTTAATTTTCTTTCCTTGGTTCATCCAGGTTAAGTCAAATTTTACTTATGCACATTCACTTAAATTCAGTTGAAAGTTTGTTTCATTCCATAACTAACAAAATCAGAAAATATCGTTGTACAGTAAGTCCTCGTATAACGTCGCCCTTCTTAACGTTGTTTTGGTACTATGTCGCTACTCTTTAGATACCAATAATTCGTTTAACGTCCCGACGACTCAATTTAACATCATTTTTGCGTCATCACGGACTACTTTATACAGTGCGTCACCCTCTCGTCTGGCCGCGTTAACTCTCACTAGCGGAACATCATAGCATCCCCAAGCGACGCCAAGCCAGTCTTTGTTACGCTTCCACATCATTCGTGTGTGCTTAAGTGTTTTTGCTCTAAATCCTGTACTCTAACCATTCGAAATGGTTTCCAAGCGCCCATCAAGTACTACTGACGCTAGTGTTGTGAAGAAGCAACATAAGACCATTAGCCTTGCTATGAAAATGGAGGTTTTAAACCGGTAGGAGGAGCCACCATGCCGGGTCTCAGTGACTCACCCTCCTCCGCTCCACTACCCACCACACACTCGCTCCACCACCTCCGTCCATCAGTGAGTACAATACAAAATTATTTAATTTATTTATATATATACTATTTTCTATAAAAATGCCATTGAATTTCTGTATATATAATGTATTTCATGGGGCAAAGGGAGGCTCAGAACATAAGTCCTGTACTTTATCTATTTCTTATGGGGAAAATGTATCTGCTTAACGTTGTTTCATATAACGTCGTGTTTTCAGGAACAAAACCTCAATGTTAAGCGAGGACTTACTGTACAGGTATACCTCGATAACCGACGCATAAGTGGACTGCGAAAAATCAACAGTTTTTGAAGCAATTAATCCTACAAGAATATAAATGATTCAAGAGGGAAGGGACCAGCCACCCCCCAAAATTCACATCTTCCCTTGATATGTCTCTGTCGTTCAGACTGTCAAGCAAGAAAAAGGTAGACATATAAAACAAGCATAATAAGCATTAATAAAGAAATGTAAGCATAAATTGAGACTGATATTCACCAGTGTTGAAGCATTGGGTCCACGTAGAGTCATCATTCCTCGTATATTCTATTACAGTAGTACCCCGATTTACGCGGTCAATTGAACCCATGGGGTACCGCGGAAAGTGAACAACAGAACATATGGGATTAATTCCAATAGAGACTGGCCCGACCCCCAAACTCCACTTTTTCCGACACAATACCTATGTTGTAGTAAAAATAACATCTTAATTTTATGATGGTATGCTCACACAATTAATATTTAAGAGAAATACAGTAGCCAGGTTAATGTCCATTCAAATAATGGATTCAAATCCCTCCCCCCCCTCCTCTTCCCAGCTCACTAGCTCCTACCTCTCTGAGAAATGTTTGGGTGAAAATACTAGATTTTAACGTTTAGTAATAAATAATACCTCAGACTAAAGTTAGGATAATATAATTGACATTTCTGGATTCCTTGCAGGTCAGGGAATATTTTGAATGTAAACTTCATATATTTTGCATAAACGATAAAATATTTGCTTTGTGTAAACCAAATTATTACATTAGATCTAAAATTTGTATGTCTAATGCAAAATCCATGATGTTTATATTCAAAATGATCATCATATTGTAAGAATTCCAGCAATGTAAATTATATTCTGGCCGGGTAATTTGTATGAAATTTATGAGCCAAATAAAAAAAAATAAATAAATAAATTATACTTCACTACGTATATGAGTAGATGCACCGCGGAAAGTGAAAGTCCGGTTCTCGCCAGGTACCAGGTAAATGAGAAATCGCGGAAAATGAAGAAAGTGAAACCGAAACCGTGTAAAGTGGGGTAATACTGTATTTGAAATATTATATCATTTATGAAGAAACATACACCTTAAGAGGCAGATCATATGAGAATATAGTAATGAATACTGTATATAACAACAATCTGGCAAATGTGACATGGCCAGTCACCCCCCCCCCCTCCTTTATGAGGGAGGGGGTGAGTGATGAGGGAACAGGATTTCCATGTGATTTTGCTTGTCTTTTATTTTGAAGTCAAATTATATACTGTATCATATTTTGTTCTATTATTTAACACTGTATGCTATATTATGTATTATGAAACATACACCATAATAGGCTGACCATAAGAGAACACTGTATAATAATTATATAACATTGAACTTGAGATTGTGACATGGCCAGTCCCACACATCAAGTGTCATCACATATCTATTAGCTCTCGTTTGGCCTAAATCAAATCCAACTACTGTATATATACTCTACTTGCAGCACTAGCCATCGTTTATGGATTAAATAGAAGAGGAAGTATTGCCGGGGCATTTAGGCATGATTGCACAACACACCTAACACACAAAGTCAAAGAGAAAGAAAATAAAAGATTAAGAAGAAAAGAGAAGAGATGGATGATCCCAGGAGAAAAAATTTAAACTGACCCAGGAACTAGAGAAACTGAAAATTTCTAAAAACTAGTTTGGTTTTAGTCCCAAGGGTCCTGAATTTAAGGGTCTAAACCTGCATTTCTGTATATCTCAAATAAAAAGAAGTTAGAATAAATTGATTCAAAGGTTTAATTATTCACTGATACCTGTACATGCTTTGTGTTTCATGTGAAGAATATTTAAAATTAGTTTTTTCAAATTTCAAAAAAAAGGAAGAAAAAGAGCCATATAACAGACCCTACCTCATTAAAGCATAAGACTTAATAATACTATATAAAAATTCCTGCAGACAATCTTTGGATGGTTTTCGATAGCCTGGGAGAATTATCAGGTTGCAACGAATTCATCACAGAAAAAAGTGCACCAATTGAAGACCTCATATCCCCTAATTATCTAAACCACTGAGATATGGATTAATCTTTCACTAAACAGGCATTAAGAAGTACTTCCCTACAGACAGGTAGCATTTAAAATTTGAACATCCTCATATCCTGTGAAGCATCTTAAAAGGTCAAACTGGATTTTACTTAAACAAAATTTCTTACTTTTAAAGGAAAATACCAGAGTACTACATGCAACATTACTGTATCATGGTTTCAACAAGTGGTTGTGGAGAAGATGCAATCAAAAAGTTAATTAGCAGACATACATACAGTACTTACAGAGGAGATACCTGTAGAAGGATTACATCCCCACTCTTCAAATTAAAGGAATAAAAACCCTACATTTCAGTAATAGGTCAAGGCAGATCTACGAAGACTCACCTGGTATATTGCCGGCCTATGAGACGCACTTTTTCCCACAAAAAAAAAAAAAAACATATAAAAGCCTGTCTCTTATGCAAACCGTGTTGCCGAATAATGCTGGGAAAGGGATGGCCATTTTCTACATTTAGACATGCCCAGGGTAACATGCACTTCCCTAATGAACCCAAAATACAGTATACACATTCATATTTTGTTACTGTACTATAACAAATTTTAAATACTGAAAAACAGAAAAAATATATAAAAAATTAGGACTCTCATTACAGATGTAAAGTACCACCTACACGGTAAGTCAAAAGACTGAAGCAAACTTACTACTACTTTCCCCAGCATTGATACGCCATACCACCTACCATTCTTATGTTATATAATACTTGTGCTACATCAAGCAACATTTGTATACAGTACTATCAAGATAAAAAAAAATTAATGAACCTAAAACCATTAAGGAAATGCTAAATGAATTTTCAACACAATCATCATTTGCACAGATGCACAACCAAAACAAAACATTGGAAGCTAGCACAGCTGGTCAGGTTGATTGGAGTGATATTGTCCTTATTTACCCTTAACTTTACATTATTCCTTTAAGGATGATAAATAAAACCTTTATGCTATTTTTGTTTTCCTTTTTCCTGCTACCTATGTATGGTACAGTACTAAAACTTATATTCTAGGCATATAATCCACTATAACAAAAGCATATAAATAGCCTAAGGAGAGCATAAAAAAACCCAATAATAATACAAGTTCGTGAATACACATTGCATCAGTCTCAAGGACGCTGGTTGGTTGGCTGTCCTTGATGCTAACCATAGTAACGCAGCCCCTCTGGGACGCTGCCTCTGCCTACCCCCTAGCAACCGGGCTCCATTACTCTGCTCCCCAGCTCAGCGCGCTAATTCTCACTCACATATGAAAAAATTTTTATTCCCTTTATGTTTTTGGTCTCCTGATAATTATTTCTTTAATTTTTTTTGCACATTCTGTATGTAGGATTGTGTATGTACATTATGTAACTGTATAAAAAAATAAATAAATAAAGGAAGTCACGTACTGTACTGGATATCTACCCGAAATTAGAAAATGAAAAGTACGTAACCACAACATAGCTCACAGCTCAGCTTGGTATGGAGAGGGCCTGGGGATGTGGCTACAATAACTAGTCCAACATGCCAACTATGCCACCAGTGATGTTAACAGATGCAAATGAAAAGAAAATTATCAGTACCTGTAAATCTATCATTTGCATCAGGTATTTAGAAATTTAAAGTGGCATATACAATGAATGAGGTTCTGTTCATGTAGCAACATAAAGATAGAATCTAGGGGTATGGTTGGCAAGCCCAGGACAAAGAGTCAGCTTACTGGTAAGGATAGCCTACCACGAGCATGTACTAGGTAGCTATTCTTTACCATAAATGACCCACGAAAATGTGTGAATATTATTATACATCCAGAACTTATGATTACCTACTTTATTCCAGCATATACAGTAATGTATTTACCAGTACTATATATGCACAAAATCTAATGTTTTTCATCTAAAAACACTATAAAATCACTTTCAATTCATGCTTGATGAATTGTACTTAAAAAAAAATAAAAATAATCCTTGGAATATAGTGATGCGTCTTATATGCCGGCAAATACTGTACTTAAGAAATGTGGTGGCGGGACTAATGTTCAATTAGAAGAAGAAACATCCAATGCTTTTTCATATAATATACTATACTGTACTGTACAGTAAACCCTTGATAACTCGTCATTTGATATCTCGGAATTTTGTATAAATCAGCATGTACAGTAGCTAAAACAACTACAGTGTCTGTGCTTACTTTGTGGAAAACAATATGAGACCATGGACGATAAATTTTGGTATATGAGGGCTGTCACTAGTCACCCGTATAATTTTGGAGCATATCGACCCCCACCTGCACAGATAGTTGTTTTAGCTACTGTACATCATCTCGGAATTTATTATAAAATAACTCGGGAAATTCAGAGCTATATAAAATTATCTGGGAAAATCTCGACATATTAGGCGTGTGGGTAACACTCGCTGTGCCGAGCTCCATGCTTGGTCAGTCTAATGTTGTTGTTGTTGTTGTTGTGGTCGGGTGTGTGCCGACTCATTCCACCCAGCACATGGATGTGGGAAGGGAGGATGCTCTCGCAACCCAATATTTTGGGTACAAAGTACTATACATTGCACCACAGAGTATCTAGGGCACCAGAATTAATATTCAGCACTCCTGGTAAAATTTGCTTCCTGCCATACTAACCCATTAACACCCAACAACCTCCGCCATTCATGTCAGGCCACCCAAAGTATGCAGAACGTCTCCTCTATTATGGTACATCCAATGTCAAAGATGTTATTAAATTTACAGTGCAATTCATTTTATATGAATTCCAACTACTGTATTTGAATCTTCCAGGTATCCCAACTTTGTCCCCTTTGGTAAAAAATTTAATTTAGTCCAATAATCCGAAAGCAACTGAAGTCATTTATTCGAGTCTAACACCAGTAACGATATAAGAGCACATATTTTATTTACAAAAAAATAGCTCCTTCCACATTCAAACCATCATCAAAGTGATGCCACAATTCAGCCAGGCAGTCAACCACCTGCCCGAGACATATGTATGTATGTGTGTGTGTGTGTGTGTGTGTGTGTGTGTGTGTGTGTGTGTGTGTGTGTGTGTGTGTGTGTGTGTGTGTGCCGTGACGTCACATGGGAGGGAGGGAGGCGGGTGAGTCAGCCACAAGTCACCGGGTGGCCTTCACATATGTTCACCTTCCACACATACACACACCCATGCTCTTCTTTTTTCTCATTTTATAGTTTCATATTATACCCAGTATTTTCTTTATTTCTAAGCCACATTAGAGTATTTTAATTTATACTCTTTTGTTCTGTAATAAAGAAAACGGTTTTACTAGGGTGGACTAATATCCTGAGTGATATACGTTACGTGTTTATTAACATACTGTACAGCTTGCCCTTCAAATTTGTGGATTTTTAATTTGCAGACCTCGATTATTCGCGGATGACACCCTGGATGTACCCAAGAATGTCTAAGGATAATTTTAAAGTTACTGGCATGTTTGTAGCCAGGACAGGGAGCCACTCATTCTAGAGACAGTAATTTCCTTTACCTGTATTGTATATACAGTTTGTGTGTAGACACACTCACACAAAACACATACAAATTAATAATAATGTTTTGTGAGCTCACGCACATGCGCGCGCACACACACATGTATAATACAGATAAAAGAAATAATTGTCTTAAGGGCAAACATATAAAGGGAATATACATTTCTTTGTACACAAGTTAAAATGTACCCCCCCCCCCCCGGTTAGCAAATGATATTTGCGGATTTGGCGATTCGTGGCCATTTTCAGAATCTAATCCCCGCAAATGTGAAGGGCATGATGTACTTAGATTTTAATTACGTATACGTAGAGAAAATTATTTTTGCTAAAATTTATTCTTTATTTTGTACAAGTGACCAAATTACGATAGTATACATAAGTGCCGCACTGTTTATTGATTATATAGCATTTCCCCTCCATCACCTGCATCACCTACCATGCATCTGTGTCAACTACTACAATGCTTCATTCTTCAACTGCAGTGATGGTAAGTGTTATTTTTTTTAAATTAGTAATTACATGTACACAAACATGGGCCGATAATTTTTTATTGCATTTTTGTTGGGGGTGGGGGATGCCTCGATAATTTGGTATTTGGGATAATTCGGTAAGGTCAGAGCCCCATACGTGCCGAGTTATCAAGGTTTTACTGTAGCTACCAGTGGGTACCTGGTACAGTGTTTCTTGGATAAGACACAAAGTACACATGGTACAGTGCAGTAAATCCTCTATTTACTGTACAATAAGGATGTGTTCCTGGACAACATGATGTTAGGCAAATCAACATAAATCAAACACTATTTTACTACAGTAATAACAAAGACAAGTACAGCCTGTATTTAAGACACTCTAAGGGGCATCTTTTGATTGTCAAAATTTGCATCTGGCCTTTGACTTACCTGCAAGAAGGCCACTCCTACTGCTACACCCGCAACAAAGAGCAGGTTTCTTTCTAACCACTCCTCTCCTGCTTGTAAACAGCCTTTTTCATATATATGTGATGCGTCGAGTCGCTGAAGCAGAAGGGAGTGCAAATGATAATACAGCCACTATTACCTTTGATTACAATTTAAAGTGTAACTAAATATTGTCCATGCAAATTCCATATAAGAATTACAAGCTGAGAATCTACACTGTGAGTGGAACATTAAACCATTGACTTAACCGTGCAATATGAGTTTATAAAAGACTAAGGATCTTAAAGGTTAAATGCATGCAGATTACTATGAAGCCTCTGTGAAAAGTGTAATCCAAACTCCCAGTAGATTGTATGAACTTGACAGTATGCAAATGTGATACACTGGGACATGTATATATAAAAATTAAGATTTTACAAAGCCAATGATTTATACTTGTATGTGAGTGCAAGCATGCCCTTTATCAATATCTACCATTTATATGAAAGTCCATTGAAGAAACACAATATAAAATCATGCCACTTACAGCAAGCTCTACCATCATGCAGAAGATTAGATTGTTAAATATCGTGAGTGGTCAGTGGACTCCCAGCCACCGCCTACCTGCAGCACCGCCACCCCCACTGCTACCCCTGCTACAGGCACTAGGTTCGACTCTATCCATTCTTCACCCGCTCGTAGACATCCACGATCGTAAATAACCAGGGAGCGATCGCCATGCTGTGGAGCCCATATGTCCCAACACCCATGATAGTTAATACTCGTTTATCAGCAAAACTAAGTGAGTTTATTTATAATACCCAATGTAATGTTGCAGGATATAAACAATAACTATAAAATTTACATTGTAATCCTGCACTGTGTCCTTTAATTGTTAAGAGTATAATTGATTATTCCATTTTCTGTATCATCACATGTCCAATTAAACCCCAACAGCCTCAGTCATCAAACAAGATTTAAAAATAGCCAGTGTTATGAGTCTACAACACAGTAATATAAGCCATTATATTTTCATCCCATCAGCCTGCCTCAGGATGGTGTGGCATCTTCCAAAACAAGAAACACAAGCTTTAGAACTGAGCGTATATACAATAAGCTTTCCGAATATATCACATAAAATATTGACATGCCCTGAGATTAAATTCCATTTCTATTTCATAGGCTCACACACACATATCCAGTACAGTCATTTCTGCTACAACGCGATAGTTGCGTTCTTGTGAAAACTAGCGCTATAGAAATTTGTGCAATAAAAATAACAGGGCTTCTGGAGAAAATAGGGTTAGGTGCAGATTACCCCCTGATGATCTAGAACTGAGAATATTCTACCTTCTACCACAGCACATATGATGGGACAGCCAACCCAAAAAGTATCAAGACCTCGGAGTCCGATGGAACAGAAAATGAACGATAACCTCAGACACGTTCATGTGTCCGTTGGGCCGGTCTTCACCCGGTTTCATATTCTTTTGGACACCTGGGGTCTCAAAATTATTTTGGATTGGCTGTACAGGCAGAAAATTAAAATTTAGCGCTGTGCTTTACTGTGTCATAAACTCATAACACTGAAGCCACCTATTATGTCATGCCTCTTAAAGCAACCCCTGAAAATCCCATCACCATCACAAGTTACCTGCAATATGAACAATATATGTATGAATTAAGCAAAGAAAATACACCAGTATATACTGTATATATATATATGTATACCTGTATACAGTACTGTATATACAGTATGCCATAATTTACAGATTCTGAAAATTTTAGAATACTGTATATACAGTAAAGCCTCGTTGCTGTATGGTGATAGGAACCATAGTACACTGTACAAAACTATGTCCACATTCTAATTGGTAAACTCTCTTTTACAGTTACACTCCTCGGTTAACACGATAGCTACGTTCCTAAAAATGATTAAGTTTAGTGAAAATGTGTCGAGTAAAAATAATTATCCTAAAGAAAAACATGTAAAAGGTGAGGGCTGTGTGTTTGAGAACTGTGAAACAATATTAATGTCTTCGGTGTTTAGTACAGTACTGTATGTCTGCAGAGAATAAATAAAATAAATATTATCAATGCAAATAAAATAAAATTTCAAAACCCCAAAATCCAAAGATCCACAATGCTCAAGAATCCACATGGTTTCAGATTTAAAGTGGGCGCCAAGATTTGAGAATGAGTTTGCCCACTCCATGTCCTGCTGTCACTCCTGTGTGTGGCTGTGTACATGGTGTGGTGGTGTTTATCTTTATGTACAGTACAGTATTCATTATCTATTCTCACAAAAAATTTTGGTAGCCTTTGTATAGAGACCTGACCAGCTGCATGTGTGATTGGTGTCTCAGTGTGGAGAGTGGCTTCAGGCTGTTGACAGTCTTTTGGTAGTCAACATTTGAACAGCTTCCTTCTCATACTGCTCAATTAATTCCATTTTTGCTTTTTACCAAAAGAGCTATCCATTGCTTTTTGGTTACAGATGCACTTTTGTACCTTAATGCTCACTTTACATTCGTGATTATTAAGGGTGCCACTGGTAAATCTCTAAAAACAAAGGTTAGCTACAAACATGTGAGGTGACAGGGTCAGAATTGATTACTGTTGTGGGGAGTTTGGGGACTCAAACTTTGTCCAGGATAGAACCACAATATGTCATGTACCGACTGTGTTAAACTGGAAACAAATCATGTTTTGTGAAAGTGTTCCCTAATTGGTAAATGGTGTCAAAACAAATGTTAACCGAGGAATACCCGTACAGTATTACTATATACCTATCAGTTAATCCTCTTTTATCATTACATCCTTACTGGAAAAACCTGTTTCACTTCATCACACTTGCAAGGAAATGTTTTGTTTCTATGGATTAAGGAATAGAGTTATCAGTCCACAAAATAAACATTCTCTCAAATGACATCAACATCTACCCTTCTTATAGTAATTACTACAACAGTACAGTAAAAACCCTGAGTACTGGACACCCGAGTAATGCCAATAAGAACACATCACCAATAAACGCTCAGTTCCCGAGATAATACAGAAATTTGGAACTTTGAATTTACTGACAGCATATCATAAGGGTGATCCACTTTATCTCCATTGATAGTATGTCTCATACACTCGCATAATCTTAACTATATAACACACGTTGCCAGGCAGCTGTGGCCTTGAGATGGTTAACGCATGTTGCCACTGATTCATGTAATAAAACTGTAAACACAGTGGGAAAATAATTTAGTACACTAATGTGACTTAGAAATAAAGGATACATTTTGTATGTCGTGCTGTATACTCGTTCACAACCAATCTCATATATTGTATATAGTTTGACCCCTGATTTTTTAGTAAATAAGCCTGAGTTTTTCATATATCTCTTGTATAATTCAACCCTAGCTTTTGAGAAATATTAGGTATAGTCCTAGACATAATTTGTAGCAAGACACCGGATTCACACCAAAGCATCTTAGCCACGACCACCACCACAACAGCTGACACTATGAATAGTGTTACCAACTCTGAAACTGAATTCCCACAAGTTACTAACTCCAATGAGGAAGAAGATAAAATAATATTTACCAGTATACTGTAAATGTGAGGAATAAATAAAAACAATACCAATAAATAAAATAAAACCTGTAGTACTGGAATCTATGCAACAGTTCAGTACAGTTTATAAATTTTGTTATATACAAGTTCGGTATAGAGAGGTAACACTGTCTATCTCAAGAACGATTATTTTAATTGAACTAATTTATTATTATGAGCATAAATAAGCCAACCTGTGTTAGTGTAATATGTTGCCTGTTGTTTTGAACAGTTGTGCCTCCCTGCTGACATGGACATCCGAATAATGGATTCCATCTGATTAACGACATCGCGGTGCCTTAATTAGTCCAGTACAGTACTTGGGGTTTATACTGTATACTATGTGATATAAAAATCTGATTTAACATATTCTGTACCTCAAAATAAACTGTAAAAAAGTCTGCCAACTGATGAGCATCATTTTCAGTTATATAGAGACAAATTACCCAATATATATTCATTATCTTTACTTCTCACCAATTTTCATAAAATGGATCAAGATATATTATATAGAAACCTTAAGGAAAGAGACAATTAATGAGGGAGAATGGTGTAAAATGAGAGAACAGTATAAAATAACCAGAGAGAACCGAGACAACAATTAGAACTACGTATTCAAATATACCAACTCAATAATTAAATAAATTTATGAAACAATATATTATACCAGCAACATTAAATATTTCATTATACTCACATAGTCTTGCTTTCTCACATCATAACCACACTGTTTGTTCTTTATTATTTCCTGAAAAAGAAGAATGTAATGTTTACCAAGCAGAGATGGTCACTGGTGGATATGTCTAGGAAGAGTGAGACACTGTTAGACCAAACGATAATCATCTATGAACCTCGATTAAAACAATAAACTGGCCCACCAACTACCCAAAATGCTACTGTACACAAAGAAAGCATCATATCTAAGTAACAAGACAGATAATATAATGAATTACAATGCAACCTCGTCCAAAAATATAATGAGACCATATTGATTTGCATCTCAGACAGCATTGTTATTGTGTTATCTCAGTAATACATTTAATTAAACATACAGTTCATTCATTCATAATAACTATTTTCTTTTAGAGTTTGGGATAGCAAACCACCAAGTGTTAGATTATTAACATCAGTAATGCCAAATCATGACTGACTACATTTCAGAAGTATGTATGCATCTATTCTAATCATATTACAGGAAACCTTCTTTAATTCTATCAAACCTATCACAAAAGCATTATCATATCCAGTACTGAGTATAACTTGTATTTCCAAAGCATTAAAAAACCCTCATCCAGAACCTAATCTTGAAGAATTCTGGTGTATGTATCTAGCTGCTCACACTTCATATTTGAGTATTAAAAATTCTAACATTATTGCCATTCCCTTAAACAAATTATTGTATAATTCAATAGGTAACATATATTTTCTTTGCAATGTGAAAAGGAAGAGCAGTCCTGCAGGTAAATTGATATACATTCTCTCACTTAAGTGAATGCCTTTATTCTAAGAACTTTCACTTAACACAATTTAAGCTAATAAAAATAATGAAGAAACCCCAAACTAAAACTAGATATTTCAGTAAGCATTATTTATGATACCTTAATCTTGTAATGAATACAATTAGCCATGACTTGTTTTTGTCATACAGTACTGTACACAGTTTCCAACTTACACACAACACTTAATGAAATGAAGCTGTTCTCTTAAAAACATCTTCCTATAATGACTAAAATTTTTGCATTCACATTATTACCTGTGTAATTTCTTTACACTGATGGTACAAAGTCTTCACCTACATTAGCTTTTTGTTTACAGCATGAGAATGGGACTCCGCAGGCCTCCCTAGAGCCAACAGCCTCCGAAGAACAATTAAAATAAACGTTACGGTCCCAGTCCTTGGGGCCCTCAATGCCACAACACTCTAACTGGAATTAAGAATAAAATGGATTAATAATCTGAGTCATCCAGAGGTGTTTCAACAGCTGAACAACCATCTGCTAATGTATCAACAAGTGATCCCCACAAAGTGTTGTCACAATGTTAAATATGATCACAGGTTACTAAAATGTAAACTCAGTCAACTGATATTGGACAGAAAATATTTCTTAACGGGTAACTGCAAACTTATCAAAACCATGTTCACAATTGGAGAAATTATTTAGTAAGTAAAGAAGTTTCATGGACAGGAACTCTCTGATAGCTGGAATTGAAATTTTCTGAGGGGCACATTTTCCAGAAAAATCAGATAAAATTTTCCTGACACCTGGAAAATTCAGAGGATGGGTTTTCCGGGTTTGAGAGATGATGTAATGGGAAATTTCTGGAACTTCCGAGAAAATTTTTCCGTTACCCGGAAAATTCCAGGGATGAGGGTTTTTCCGGCTTTGAGAGAGTCGTCTTGTTACCCAGAAACCTCTCATTCCCGGAAGTGCTCTGCACCATTTGTTCCGGCTAATGGAGATATCACAGTAAAGCTTCGAATAATGACGGTAATGTGTCCTCCAATATCACAGTGAAAGGTGAATCCTCGTATCATGAATCATTAATTATAACATTAAAATAAAGCAATAATAATGAGATACGTTCCAAAGTCTGACCTTTTCATATCTTTTGTGTGGCCTTTTACCCTCTTTTCCCCCCAAAACAATAAAATTACTACTGAAAATGCAAACTATATTCTTTAAATAATGTTTATGAATGCACCTTATAAAATGTAAATCAATAATAATATGGTCACACAAGAGGAGATGGGATGCCATTGTTTTTGTTATTGTTTACACCCGTGACAATGGTTCTGCATAAGAAACTGAAGAAAATAAGACCCTGGTTGTAGCTGCAGTAAAATTAAAGTAAAAAAATTAATATACAGTATGTTTTAAGTAATGTTAATAAATGGAACATTAGAAGTAGCTAACCACTATCGGTAAAAAAAAAATATGAGACGTATTGGGAACGCCAACGTATGTAATTGCATACACATGAAAACATATCGCCATTTCTCAACATACGAATATGAAAGCAACACTTATTACTGTTCATATATGTTTTAAATAATACTTACAAATGTAAAAAAATAAATTAAACTCACCAGTGGTGGTAAAGTCTAAAACATAAGGACAACCAATGTTGTGTGAGTTTTTACTCATATGACAAAGTCATCAGGTTCAACTCTGGCTGAAGCTGTAGCTTTCCATAAAGATATCATAGCTGTTGTTGAAACTGTTACTGAACCTGAAGTTGTTGCTGAAGCTGCTTATGATGCTGAATTTGATGGTTTAAGCCTTCGAATAACAAAGCTGTCAAAAGAACCTTGTACAGCTGCTTTCTTTTCTCATTATATATCTTTATGTAGACGTCATATGCATTTTTCACGTCCCTGTAATTTTAATGCTTTGTTCTGTTTAATGGATCCACTTCAGAAAATATGTTTATTGCTTGCTCCATATAATATTCACAGACCTCTCGCCTTTTTCATATTGTTTTAACACATCTAGTTTCTCGGCTAAGCTTAAACACTTTCTTTTAGCTTTTGAACCAGCACTACCATCACTGGTTCTCTTGCTCATGTTGAATAGGGACACAAAAATCCCGTAAGAAACCTGAGAAAGTTTTTCTCCTTTTCCTGTTCAGATGCGTGAAACAAAAGGCCCACCAGCTGCGACTGTTTATACTAGTGATGCTGGCATCACCACTCACAACTTCACAATCCCGGCAGCCCCCTAGCGCAAGGCATGGTTTTTTTTATTTGTATAATACATATCAGGATTCAGTTATTATTTACATGAAAAATTAATTTTATTTTATTTTTTATTCTATTTCCGTCATAAATACGAAGAAAATAATGGTGTAAATTGAATTGGGACCTAATTTTACCCGGGTCTTAAAATATGAAACATCGTTGGTAGAACCGTCGTTATCGAAGGCTTTCCTGTTGCTGAAATTGAAATCAGCCCAGAATTTTTCTGGAATACTTTTAATCCCGGGTCTGTGAACGAGTCTCCGGAAAATATCAAGATTTTTTTTCCAGGTCTGGGAACAAATTTCAAAGATGAAATAATGCCCAATTTGTGGACAAATTATGGAGAAAATTCCAGAAAATCTCTCAAATATTTTGTCCCGGGTGTGGGGACAAAAGTTTCAGAAGCTCCAAAAGGTTGCATCATGCTTCCCCGTGGCCTCACGTACTGTATGCATGGGTAGGAAGACTGTCTGGGTAACTTGGGCCATAAGCTTGTGAAATGCAATAGGCTAATGCTGTCATGTGACTGCATGGGATGCCTGTGACAGGCTGATGCATCTCCCAGCTTCTTTCCTACATAAAATAATTAAAGACTTACATTAATAAAAATACACCTACATAGGACAACTAAGAACCTTCACAGAATAATCAAACGTATACATTAGAGCCACTAATTTTCTCTTTCATGACATAACTATAGAATCTGTCTTCCATCTAAAAATTATACTAGTAAAAAAATTAACATTTTCCCACCAAACAAGTCTAAATTTCTAATAATATACAGTAGTATAATATCTACAAAATTACTCAAAATAATGTACAGCATATTTTTGAAACTCACCCATTTCTCTTGTATCCAGTCAATAAGATTCTGCTGGTCTGGGTCATCACGGTAATGGACAATGAATGCTTGGAACCCATTGGTAGCTTGGGATTTTATCTGAAAATTAGTAAAAAACCTTTCAATACTGTAATGAAGATTATGTGTGTCTGTTAGCATCCAAGTTTTACATACTGTAATGTTACCGCATCTTATGGGACATGAGATGCAGTAGGAGGAAAAGGAGAGAGGGAGAGAGAGATGAGGGTTGTATTTTGAGGCGTCCATTTTCTATACATTTTTAGAAAATTTTCCAGAACGTACCTGTAAAATTCCAGGGATGGGGGAGATTTTTCCGGGTTCGAGAGATGATGTAATGCACAATGTCTGGAACTACCAAGAACATATTTCCGTTACCCGAAAAATTCAGGGGATGAGGGACTTTTTTCCGGACTTGAGAGAGTCATCCTGTTACCCGGAAATCTCTCATTCCCAGAAGTGCTCTGCACCAATTGTTCCGGCTAATGGAGATATCACCGTGAACTTAACAGCCACTTGAGTCACTAAGCACAGTTAACACACTTGCAATACAGTACAAACACTAGGAATGCACGGTAGCAGAACACAACCGATGTAAATCATTGATATAACATTTAGCTGTCTATAATATGAAAGCAGGATCTGAGGCACTCAACACCCTGTGGAAGTGTGACTGGATCATTGGTTTTTATAGACATGGGCCTCACGGGACATTAACATTCTATCTATACCCCTTTCTGACTTGATATTATGGGTTCATGATGGTCGTATCACACAATTTTTTTATGGTCTAAGATTCAGCACAGTACAGTACATGATTTGACTACAACTTTATGTGCACACGTACAGTTGGCTTCACTTTTGCATTTACCACCTAGCATTGCCAATGCTCTCTCTCCATTAGGTGTGAACCCTTAACTCTGAAATGTGAATTCTAAGCTTTTGCTAGTGAGCGGGGAAGGGTGCGTCAGGGTAGGTGTCTTTCTGTGGAGGGGGGGCCAGTAGATACTATGGGTGAGTACATTAAGTATATATCAGTTGGGAGAGATTACAATGTAGGATAACGCTTTGGCAATACCAACGGGGTTTCCTCAGCTAATTAATCCCCTCACTATGATGTAGTCTTATCTATTTTATTCTGGCTACCACCTGAGGAGTTTATTCAAACATAAAGTATTCATAATCCATTTGGTCATAAATGCCCCCATTTGCAAAGGAATACCTTACTTAGAACATGATTTCATCCCCGTCATCCTATTGTAACTTTAGTATTTTCATCTGGCTAGGCAACCCATCGGTAATGTCAAAGCGTTATCCTACATTGTAATCTCTCCCAACTGATAAACATTTTTTGTCCTCATTCCTACTGTATAGTGCATTTTTTCTCAGCTGAGAAAAGATGACCCGCCCCCTCCTCAAGAGTTACAGCCGATTGGCTGTTGCAAGCCTGTCCGATTTTGTCCTGAAGTACCATAATGATGTATTTCTAAATTAGTTTATTCATAATCGTTGGGATGACCGTTTCTGACGAGAAAGATGTTTAGCTAAATTATATAAAGATACATACATTCATTATTTCAAACATAAGCAATTAGAAAGTTTATCAGAAGTATTATACACGAATTAACTGTTAAACTCGGGTAGCAAATTCACACTTTCGGAGGAAGCATTTAATATATACTTATTTTTACACACAATAAGGCATACTAAGACAAACTACATATCAGTAATACTACATTATGAAAAAACAACACTCTAAAAGATCAGAATCACATTGAAATATTACATGACCCAACACACCCCTCCTCTCTCCCTTCCACTCACTAGCGAATGCTTCAAATTCACACTTCAGAGTTCACACCTCAAGTCAGAGAGAGGCTTAATTTAAGCAAGCTGAAATGAAAATGGTGAGATAGATTTGTAATGTGATAGAGGGTATTGAGAGCATTAGCAAGGTAGGCTGAGATTGTACAGGCATGTGGAGAGAATGAAAAAGACTGACTGGGTTGAGAGATGCACAAGTTTGAAAATGGAGGGGAGGGGAGCTAAGGGTAGGCCAAGAATGAAAAGAAGAGAGGCTGTATGAAATAACTTCATTATATAAGAACCTGATGAGTAGGGCTGCAATAGAGGAGTGAGGAGTGCTAACATCAGATAATCATGGATAACCCATGCAAGTGTGGAAAATGGCCAGAGAATAATAATGATGATTTGTTTCTATGCAAAACAAAAATATTACTTCTACAAATAAACTTGCAATAGAAACATTACCAGTACAGTATTAATATGAAGAATAATATAGTAAGTATCCTATTAAGTAGTCTGTTACTACACCAGAGAAAAGAATCCCTAGAAACTCACCCAATCCTTGAATATAAATCCTAGAATGCCCGCTGTCATCTCCAGGAGCAGCAAGATGGCCAGAAAGATAGCATACTGTGGACAAGTATATCACATGTTAACATTTACCAGCATGGGTTTTGATTCTCAAACTTTTCTATTACTGTGTATAAGAGAACATATCTAGTTTCAATTTATGTCTCAAGAGAATATTCCAACACCATTTAGGTTAGGTTACCACAAATTTGTCATAGTTTAGGACCCTGTGAGATGCATTTTACATGTTTGGTTATGAAGAAAACTCTACATACCTGTACTGTACATACAAACATTTGACAATCTGTCATAAAACCAAATGCTGTACTGTACCTGTAACAGCTTTTGTTGACAATACAGTACATTATTAGCATGTTTAAATACAGTAGTTAATATACTAGTTACACAGACCATTTGTTTAAAGACTAAGTCAACAAAAGTACTAATTCACTCTCACCTCTGAAATTCCTACGTTACATCAAGAAAACTACACACTGGGCGAGACAAAGTGGTGTTTACAGTACAGTACCCCATGTCTTAAGCCTGTACAGAACACCTTGCGAGTACAGTAATGTTTACCTGGTGAGTAAAATTATATTAAGCATCAACCATTTCTTTAACTTCCATTTATTTTTGTTTTCATCATTGACCTTTTTTACTAAACTGTACATAAGATTCATCATATGTTAGAGTACATCAGTCTTCTTTATTGTACAGGTATTTATCATTTTTCCCCTGCATGTACTGCACAGTAATTGTTACCCCGTGTATCCCCCCTTCTCCCTTTATAGTTTCTTAGGAATAAGGAAACTCGTACAAAGATGGGGCAAGTAGAGGGTTATTATGTTGAAAAATAGGTGTGTGATCATTAATAATAAATCATTACTTCTGCATTTATATTCACCTGTCTCGTTACTTACTGAATGACCCTCGTACAGTACCTGGTATTCATAAAACTCACCTCAAGGAAAAGCTTGGGCAGATCACTCCCCTATATACAGTACTGTACTGTATAGCACCTATGTCAATCATTCTTAATCTATACCCATCCTTGTATCAATAACTCCTACCTTATGGCTATTGCAATCTTTTCCTAAATGTATCATTCATCCGAATAAATACTCAACTACCATTATGTCTGCAATCCTCTTTATCTCATACACATTAAACATTTCTCTTATGCATTCAATCAGTACTTATACTAATTCTATGAATGTTGAAATACTAAATGACTTTTGATTACAGTACTTACACATGCTAGGAGGCAAGTGTTCTCCCTCAGGGCTCCAACACACCCGGTGAAACCAATGGTAAAAGTTATCAACCCTGAAGACACACAACATAAATATCATTAAAGAACATTTGGAACTATCAGCTCGTAAATACTAAAACTAATTTGAAACACAAGACTTGACAGCACAAACAATAGTACAAACTGACCCATGATAAGTCTAGTACATAGAGTAGTTTGCATATAATATATTCTCAGAAGCAGGTAGTAATCAGGTCCCTTGAGGGAAATCCTGCTTAAAATTATTTTGTACAGTATTAAATTTTTCCTATTAATACAAACAGAAATACAGTACAGTAAGTCCTCACTTAACGTTGGCCAGCTTAACGCTGTTTCGGTACTACGTCGCTAAACTTTAGATACCAAAAATTCGTTCAACGTCCCGGTGACTCGGTACAACGTCGTTTTGCATCGTCATGGACTACTTTTTATGGCGCATCACCCTCTCTCGGCTCAGCACGCTACCCTCACTCGTGAAACGTCACAGCGTCCCCAAGCGACGCCAAGCTAGTCTTTGTTACGACTTCACATTACTCGTGTGTGCTTAAGTGCCTTTGCTCTAAAATTGTACTCTAACCATTCGAAATGGCTTCCAAGTGCCCATCAAGTGCTACTGATGGTAATGTAGTGTAGAGACAATGGAAGACCATTACCCTTGCTACGCAAATGGATGTATTAACCCGATTTGAAAAAGGGGAACGCGCTGTGCTAGGTCTAACCCCCACAACGGTGCGTACTATCTGGACCAACGCTGACAAGATTAAGGTTAGTGCTGGAAGTGGTTCTACTCTCAGCGCAACTAAAACAACTCGTACTAGAAGTACTGTGATAGAAAAAGTGGAAAAGATGCTGGCATTGTGGATAGAGGACCAGAATCAACGCAATGCGCCTGTGAACCTTATGGTTATCCAGCATAAGGCCAGTTCCTTGTTTGATGACATGAAGGAAACAGAGGGTGAAGGATCGAAGAAAGAGACCTAGACGGCCAGGGTAGGTTCAACAATTTAAGCGTCGTTATAACTTCCACAACCTAAAGATGACTGGTGAAGCTGCTAGTTCAGATACGGTTGCTGCCGAGACATTCCCGCCTGAATTCAAGCAGATTATCCAGGAAAGAGGCTACTCACCAAAGCAAGTCTTCAATGTGGATGAGACTGGTCTCCTTTGGAAGAAGATGCCTGAGAGGACCTATATCTCTAAGGTGGAGAAAAGAGCACCAGGTTTTAAAGCAGCAAAAGACCGCTTGACACTGCTGCTTCGCGCGAACGGCAACTTCAAGCTGAAGCCTATGCTGATTTCTCGTGCTGCCAACCCACGGGCCCTGAAAGGTTACTCTAAGGATCACCTTCCAGTGATCTACAAGGCAAATAAGAAGGCATGGATAACCTGCGCCATATTTAGCCAGTGGTTGAACATGTACGCCGTCCCTGCAATGAAGGAATACTATGCCAAGAAGAACCTTAACTTCAAAATTCTTCTGATCCTTGACAATGCTCCAACTCATCCTCCCAATCTCGACGATTTGCATGACAGTTTAAAAGTTGTATTCCTGCCCCCCAACACGACAGCTCTGATGCAGCCTATGGACCAAGGTGTCAACGCCGCATTCAAGGCGTATTATTTACCCCGTACCATGGCCCAGCTGCTCAAGGCTACAGACGGAGAATTTAAACCTAAGATCCGAGAATTTTGGCGTAGCTTCAACATGCTTCATGCAATTGACAACATTGGCAAGGCATTGGAAAAGGTTTCAGAAAGTTGCCTGAATGGTGTGTGGCATAAATTGTGACCCGAGTGCGTCAACAGTTTTACAGGATTCACGGACTTAGTCCCAGCTGTGAATTGGGATATCCTCAGCTTGGCTGGGCAGGCAGGCTTTGATGAGCTGGAATCAGAGGATATTGAGGACGTCCTGGCATCCCATACAGAAGAGCTCAACTACGAAGATCTGCAGCTGTTAACAGAACACAATCCCATTGAAGACGACGACGAAGAAGAAGAACCTCAATGAAAGCTAACTTCCAAAAGGATGGCAAAAGCATTCAACATGATCCAGCAAGGAATGCAAATCCTTATAGATGACGACCCAAACAGAGAACGTAGTTCAAAGATTCAACGCAGCACTGATGACAGTCTCGGTTGTTACACTGAGATCTATAAGAAGAAGAGTAGCACCAAGCAGTCAACACTGGATTAATTTTTTCGTCGCGGGATGGCAGAAGCAACTTCTTCACAACAGCCGGCAGCTGAGGAGGAAAACACAGCAGCTGAGGAGGAGCAAACAACAACGGAGGAGGAGAAAACATCAACGGAGGAGGGGCAAACAGTGGCGGAGGAACCCCAGTCAGAGCACGAGGAGGAGGAGACAGCCGCAGTCTCAGTGACTCACCACCCTCCTCCTCCACTCCCACCATCTGCCTCCTCTGCTTCACTACCCACCACACACTTTCTCTACCACCTCTGCCCATAGGTGAATACCAATACAAACTTAGTAGCTGTATATACATGCACTATTTTCTATAGAAATGGCAATGATTTTCTGCATAGTATATGTAATGTATTTCATGGAGCAAAGGGAGGCTCAGGAACATAACTCCCATATTTTATCTATTTCTTAGGGGGAAAATTGATCCGCTTTACGTTGTTTCGTATAACGTCGTGTTTTCAGGAACGTAACCCCGACGTTAAGCGAGGACTGACTGTACAGTACAGCACCAGGAAATCTAATCCAATATAAATTAAAATTAAACTACAGATACAGTAAAATGATGGTCATACAAATTAAACTTACCAGTGACAATGAGTACAAAAGCTGGATCAAGGGCGATGTTGGTGAGTCGACTGAGGTTATTAAATGTATCTTTCTCCGTCCATGCCCATACTCCAATCGCTAAGATGCTTAATCCCATCAACTGAAAAAAAGAGAAGAATATAAATTTAAGTGTACTGTACTATACTGATCATTTTGAAATTCTGGCAGTTTTTTACATGACAATCTTACCAGATAATTTGATTCACTTAGTAGATAATGGTCAGGGGCAGATCCAGGGGGGGTCCTGGGGGTTTGGACCTTCCCATTTTCATCAGAAAATTTGAATACTTTTTCTTTAATACAGTATTGCACTCACGCTACATTAGGTGAGGTTAGATATAGTTTCTGGGTTCTATGGCTAGGTTAGGTTGCTTAGGTTAAGTTACATAAGGTTGGATATCTAAATACAGGGACGACCAAAACTAAAATTTTACCCTCAGCTGTGCTCCCATACTGTATTTGTACTGGTATTCTATGCACTAGAATAAATATACTGATGATAAACCTACTATAAAAACAGGAGGAAATAACACTGTGCAACTACACTGTATCTCTACCAACGTGTGGGATAGCAGTGCTATTAAAAGCAGTAAGACATTTGCAAGTGTAACCAGGTTAATTGCATGTGTACTGTATTTAATAAAACATAGTGGATATTTTGCCATGACTGGCTAAGATCCTGCTAGCATTATTTTACCCTGAGTGTGCTCTGATTGTAAGTACTTTCTGTTTAATATGACAGGGGGACCACCCCCTAGCTAGGAAATTAGGTAAGGTTAGGTAGGTTTCTTTGGTTGGTTAGGTCAGGTTCTATTAGGTTCTAGTAAATGTCACCCCTTTTATAATGATAAGAGCGTCTGTGGAAAAATGAACAAAATCGAACAACTCCTTCTGGAGGTAGTGGTGTTCTCAAGCATTTCTGTATTTTTAACCTTTTTACAAGTTAGGTAGGGTTAGGTAAGGTTTTCAGAGGCATGTTTGGTGTTCTTTTTAATATTTTACTCCACATTTTCCCTCTACTGCCCACTTTGAACAACCAATATTGTTGGTAATTGGGGAGTTCTTATTGGTTAAAATACTGTATTCGAAAAATATAAATTTGTCCCGAAAACGAAATAGTTTTTTCTATTTTTATTTATTTTTTTTGCTTTCTCCCTTATAAATAGAAATATGAAATTTCATGTTTGACCACAAAGAATCTTTACCTCTATTTTTGTTATAGAGCATCTTTTCTCAGCTGAGAAAAGATGCTTCGCCCCTCCTCAAAATTTACAGCTGATTGGCTGTTGCAAACCTGTCTGATTTTGTCCTGAAGTAATGATGTATATCTAAATGAGTTTATTCATAATTGTTAGGATGACCATTTCTGACGAGAAAGATATTTAGCTAAATTATATAAAGATACATACAATTATTATTTCAAACATAAGCACGTAGGAAGTTTATCAGAAGTATTATACATGAATTAACTGTTAAACTCTGGTAGTAAACTCACGCTTTCGGAAGATACATTTAATATATACTTATTTTTACCCACAATAAGGCATACTAAGACAAATTACATATCAGTAATACTACATTATGCAAAAACAACATTTTAAAAGATCAGAATCACATTGAAATATTACACGACTGTCAGCAGAGGCGGGAAATATGACTGCGAACAACTTCATATTTTTCCCGCCTCTGCACAACAGAAATACGGTTAGGTATGTTTATAGCTAAACAACGATTAATTCATGGCAAAATAAATGCCAAATGCAACAAGTAACGGTCAAATACAGTTCTCGCATTGTTCGCCGGTAATGGGCGATTAGCCAATCAGAGTGCACACACAGTAAAATAGCATTATAAGGAACTTAGCCGGTCATGGCAAAAATAACCACTGCCTTAATAAAATTTGGTAATATCTCAACATCCCATAACCACTAACAAGGACAACATACAGCCAATCTGTAAATCAGCTAAAAAGAAAATTATTTCATATATTTAGATAGTCTAATCGAAACCAACACCAAATACAGACTAATGAACTCTTCCTTAAGTAAAACACAAAAAGGAAGTGACTTATGACATGGTCTATGGAGCCTGAATCCTTGAAACTGGGTTCACATCAAGGTGAATGATCCTTACTCCTGGCTAAGAGGAAAATCCCAAGTTATCCTGATAATGACTTAAGATGGAGGTGTAATTATACCATGTAAGTATTTAATTGTCCTATAACGGTGGAACAATAAAGAACTGGTGCAGGTCCAGGAAGTGATGTCACGGGGGGAAGTGTCTCTTTGTCCGAGTTCACACTTCCCGTTCAATGACTTACTATCATACTTACATATGGAATTACTAAAAAAAACATAAACCCGCTCCTAATTCATGAAGGCCTATCCAGTGAAAAATTACCAGGGAGGACAATAGGCTGAGGAAGGTGGTATAGTTGACAGCTGACGGGAGAAAGGTCACCAACAACAACAGTTAACATGTAAACAGAGGCACAGTACTCACCCAAAATATGACATTGAAGCCGAATATTACATATTTAAGGCAGCAGCTGACTTCACTCTGATCCCGCCTATACCGTTTGACTGGCATTTTGATCAGATCCGCCGCCTGGAAGCAGTAAATTACGATAAAACGGACATCATAATCTCCCACCACTGGTCGCAGCACCACTTTCCTCAGTGGCCACCAGATGACGCCGCCTCCACCACACAGAGAACGGCTCAAGGCAAACTACGCTAATTATCCCTTGTTAGTGACAGATCCCGTAGAGAGCAAATCACGGAACAAGTCACAGTAATTTACAATACATATCAATGGTTGTATTATTTAAAAGATATATTTCCTTTAAATGATGGTTTTACACTGTTTAGCAATGTGACTCCAACAGAGGTTGCAGGGAGGGAGGGTTTCAGATGCCGCCCAGGGTGTACCACGACAAGGGTGAAACTACAAACTTTCACTGGTTTAACGATCGTTCCCGTGATCATTGCTGCTCCTTGCAAGAAAAATGGAGTCACAAGAGTACGTGTGTGGCTGACAATGTTCATGTAAATATATAATGTTTAATAATAATTGTACAGAAATCACACATGCACACAAATAAACTCTCTCTTCACCCCCACACATACTCCTACACTCATTGGGGGGCGCCCACATTCAACACACCTAGAGTAGTATAATACACACACACACTATATATATATATATATATATATATATATATATATATATATATATATATATATATATATATATATATATATATATATATATATATATATATATATGTGTGTGTGTGTGTGTGAACAAAACACACTTTAACCACTTATTCATATCTTTATGACAAATTTCTTTAAATGTTCCAAATATTCCATTTGATTGGACGTTTTCTGAAAAGCAATAAAATATCGGAAAAATCATATTTTCATAAAATACAGAATTATTAGTTTACTTTACTTTGAATTACATAATAGCTATTTTACTAGATCGGATATCATACTGAAACTGTAGTGTGACTATTTGAATACAAATTCATACTCTGGGTAGTGAAAAATATACATTTAAATATAAATATAAATTAAAAAGAAATACACAACCTAAGAAACAACTCAACACAGAATTTTCTCCAGGAAGTGTACAGTATAAAGGACACAGGCCGACAGACAAACTTTATCAATAAATAATTATATTAGATATCCTTCACAGTATTAGTTAATAGAAAATACCAGAATATATAAAATAAGAATACAGTATACAGTATATTTGTTGGAAAGAATCGCTTAAACTCGGGAAACCTTGGCCGACTCCCACGCGCGCTCCGCCCTTGGATCCAACCTCCCTGGGAAGTGCGTTGTGTTCAATTACTTGTGTGATCCACCAAATAAGAATGTATAATAACTTATATACTACATAGCTAATATGCTACATATATCCTAAATGTATAAAATTTTTGCTTCTTGAAAAATAACTCAAAACCTTGTGGTGGACCCCATAATGTACGCTACAACCTCTCTTACTCTGAATCTCGTGTCACCTGGAAGTTGCCGGATAGGTTGCACCATTACTCTTCCCGGAAGGAACAAGGTTGTGGTTTGATTTTATGTCTGTTATTGGCTCTCGATAATTTGTTTGCTTCTTTTTTGCCATTGGCTACTGGAGACCCTGATAACGCCAGTTTACTATGGCATTGAATCACACAACACTGCTCTCAATAACTTCTTGTTCTGACAATAGCCAATCTCTCTCCTCTCTGCCCTCGACCGCTATTGTGCATGACTTGAACATCTCCTGCCTTTGTTGCTGCTCACAGGTATTAATGACATCATCAGCTCATTATCTGATAATGCTTAATGGTGTTTGTGACATCATTTCATCTTCATTGTACCATCAACTACCAGTGGTACTGATATTTTCTTGTCTGTTATTATATTTTTTGGTGATTAACAACACAGATCCCTGCTTTTCTGTTGGTTGCAGGGATCCATGGCGGTTGAAATTTTTCCCATCGGTTTTTGACAACCATACGTGGTATCATCAGATATTTTCCTTGTTAGGCATGGAGAGGGGGAATCCATGACGCCATTCGTCCTTGTACACGTCACCTACTGGATATGTTCGTCTGTAGGTCCTGCTCTTCTATTTACTGCAGTTTTCTATGACATCATTATTGAATACAAGTATGCGCGAAATCCATTATATCTTTGCAATTATAGTGGCTACATGAATTTCTGACATCATTAGCTCAGCTTTAATTCGCTGCAGATACCAGTGACATAATTAGTTCTGCTTTTGCTGGCTGATGACATCACTGCAGACACCAGTGACATAATTTGCTCAGCTCTAACTCGCTGCAGACACCAATGACATCATTACCTCAGCTTTAACTGGCTGCAGACACCAATTAGCTCTGCTTTTACTGGCTCCGCACACCCAGGGATCACCAGGTTATCATATGCTTGTAAAACTCCTCGGCGGTGAGCATAAAGTGCAGTAATGTCATCCTCTCTGGGGGGAAACTCGTGAAAAAATATAGAGTTGTATCCCCTCTTTAGAGTGTGTAAGAAACTATTTGATCTACGTATAAACAACATATTATATAAAGATTTTTTATACATTGGTCATGTTATTATTACTCACGCCGATGGAGAAGTGTAAGACGGTCAGTGCTGCGTCTACGCCAGTGTGTCTGCTGCCTGACTCGAGAACGTACGGTACACAGCTACTGTACATTATTTAAACTAAATGACACAAACATTAAGCACATTAGCCCCTAAATCAGCTTTGCTTTTGGGGGTCAACTGTCAAAGTTACAACTTGGAACTAGGTACCAATAGGTCCCACACTTCAGTGTAATTTAGTTATGGATACAAAGTACAGTAACTCTGCTTTTATTCTTATCATACAATTAAATTCGATCTTCTTTGCCTCTCCATAGGTCCAGGAAACATCCACGTGAGTTCTAACACAAATTAACTGAAGCCTCTTCTGTGAATTTTTCATCGGTTAGATAATATACATGTTTGAGGTTATCACACTCTTGTTTGTTTATGCTAACATTACTGTGCTGCCACCCACTCCACCAGCCAGCATGGCGGATTGGCTATTGTCAGCTTTAACCCTGTAGTTACGACCAATCACAGCACGTGTTTATAATAGAACGACCCAGACCTTTCACAATGAATTTGGCGGGTCAGATGTCAATGCTCTCTTAATGGGCGTAACGGAGCAATTACCTTGTTAAGAGCTGCATTGGTTAAGGTTAATTTTACCAGAAACTTGACGACAAACTAAAGGACCCAGGATCAGTAAGCTTCTCACAGTTAATATTATTTTCTTGTAACAAAGATATGCAAATGTGCCTAATTAGTTTGAATTAATGTAACACACAAAAGTAACACCAAAATACGACAAAATACGCTTAAACTTTCCCTCAAGTAGATAAATCAATTTAGCATAAGTCAGCTGATAAAATTAATGTAGAAAACCTCCAAAAGATTATCTGATTAAATTTTGTTTCATAACTATATCCATCTAGTTGAGGTAAATTGTAAGAGTAGTTTCTATGCTTTTTTTTTGTAACTTTGTTGGATTTTACCTTAAATTAACCAGTTAGGTGTGTTCTTACAGCATGCCGTGCAAAATGAGGAATATTCACTTGAATTTACGTCCAAGTTGGTGAAGCATCTCTGAGATACTGTTTAATAGAAAACCTTTAAACAATTTTCTTGCTCTACACTGGGCATTATCTACTGTTTCTTATCACCATAGGTTAGCTGGGGTCTATAACTATATCCCCTATATATCACGTCACACACTGTTGAATATCCCACTAAGAATACGAGCCAGCAGCAGTCCAATACGTTTTGAATCACTTACAATATTTACATTACACCAAGTTCGGTATTGTATTCAGAAATCACCAAATCACTTCAGAAATACCAAAGCTGTATACATTGTTTACATACACACAAAATAAGATTCAATATTCAGTACCAGAAGTAAAACACAATTTTTGAATGACAAAAACACTTGAGTCATAATAACTCGAAATTCACTTTAAAAATTATCTCTCTTTCTCTAAAAAATAAACTAAAGCAGAGATCGGTATATTACTTTCGAGAAGAGTAAATTGATTATCACTTGTGGTAGAGAGCGTCAGCAACACACTCACTACCCGCCGTGGCTACACTGAACAGCGAACGCCCCCCGCGCCTCACCAGTCATCACTAGGCTAGTTCCGGCGGCCTTGTAAGCAACCGCATTTTCGATCTAATCCTAACAATAACTTCAGCTGTAGTGGCTGCCTCGCACGACTTCCGGTGCACTATCGATCAGTACATCGGAAAAAACATGGACCTTCCATTGACATCACAACACCATCCAAAACATGGGACATTTTGCTTATAGGTCTTCTGTGTATTAATGTCATAATATACCTTAACAACAACGGTATTCTAGGTTATACTGTAGGTACACCTGCCATCATCATAGCAAAGGTCTATATATATATCTAATTCAGATCAGTTATCCTGTTGAATCTTCACACAGCCATTAGCTGCTAATTATGCCAATGACATCATTAAAATCTAACTCTCTCAATAAATGGCTTCCGACGTCCGTAGTATAATTTGTACGGCTATGTTGGTAACTTAGTCACTCATTCACGACTGTGATCAGTCGCCCTCGCCGCCATTGGCCGAAAATATTTAAAATATTGGTCAGAACCTGATTTTTCTGAGCACTGAAGCCATAAGATACAGGAAGAGTTTGTTACATCAAGCGCTGAGGATACACAACAGGACAAAAAGTGGTTAGAAACCTTTGACCCTTCTGTTACCGTTGGGAGTCTGTGCAGGGACTCACGCTACCTTCACATTTCATCACATACCTTGGAACAGTGTTGCTAAACTATTTTGTTACGAATTAACGCTTGGCGCTCAAGTGGGAGAGGCGTTGACAGGAGACGCCAAAATTAAATTAGCTTGCTTTTTTCAATGCGTTGTGATAGAGGTCCGGGCGTGATAGTGTGTGACAGTCATGACAGTCTTGGTATTACATTCCGCTTTCTCCCCCACATGTTGCTCAGAATCTCGGTCTCAACGTTTAATGGCTGTCGCCAGTGTGGTCTGGTCTGGTCGTGTCTGGTGCACGGGTCTGTTACTTCCAGGAAGAAAATAAACACCACCAGCTTTTACCCGGAGTCCATT